TATATATATGAGCCGTAATTCAGACCATATTTGCATAATCTGTTGGCATGGGACCTTGCGATTAGCCCGAGTTCCGCTGGGGTTTGGGCAAAACGAGTCTCTATGGAACCTACCTTGATAGGAGAAGGCCCGCTCGCTAGTCACTGAGAGGAAGCGTGGAGAGGAAAGAGGAATTGAAATGGTGGAAAAGGGAGCTCTCGTAAACGAATTCCTAATGCAGCGTGCATGTTACATTTTTTTCTTGGGCTATTTTTTCTTTGGCATCTTATGTTATTTTTTGCTAGACACCGAACGTACGTTTAACATCATTCCATTCTCTCTAATCCTCATTTCGACCAGGTTATTACTTATCATGATAGCGATTCGTGGTTGATGCATAATTAGAATAAAACTTTTTAGTTATTCCAAGGTTACTTAGGGTTGTATGTATATACACACACATATATGTATGCATATATATGTATGTATGTGTGTGTGTATATATATATATATATATATATATATATATATATATATATATATATATATATATATATATATATATATATATATATACATATATATATTGTGATGTGAAAAATATCAAACGAAATTATAAGTTATAATCCTGCAAAGGTTACCATGATGCACCCTAGAGTTCCACACAGCAAGAGCAGTGAATAGGAAAAAATACTGAATGATATCGTTAGCTGGGAATACACGCAATGAGAGACCATTCGGGCCTCTACTTTACTTACAATTTGCCGCAGACCACAGCAGCCTAATGATCTCTCTGCCCAGTGAGGATGATATGTATATATATGTATATATGCATTTCTCTTTCCTTCTCTCCTTTCCTTGGATATTCCTACTCAGTATTTGAAGGGGAAAAAAATGTATGTAAAAACATTGTGTATAAAATAGAAAAATGTTGACACTTTTCCCCAAGCTCTTATTTCTCTCAGATATGATGCGTGTGCGTGTCCTTCTCCCCCCCCCCCCCCCAGCATCCGTGTGGCAGTGGCCCTTTTGCTACATGTACATATTTTTACATATTTTGTTGACCTCGTAACATCTTCACCCGATATAGAACTAGCCATAACTTGGATAGATTTACATGTGTGATCTCACTCACCTCGCTGTGTGTACGTGCGTGTGTGTGAGAGAGTGTGTGTCTATGTGTGTGATGGATAGATAAAAAGAATGAGACTGCGATTATATATGTGTGTGTAAGAGAGAGAGAGAGAGAGAGAGAGAGAGAGAGAGAGAGAGAGAGAGGGGGGGGGAGGAGGGAGGGAGGGAGGGAGAGATGGAAGGAAAGAGAATGATAAATAGATACAGGGAGAGTAGCAGTGAGAGAGCTCGTGTGTTGTGTGTTGCGTGAGATTGATGATTGATGATTGAGTCTGCTGACGGTTCTTCCTCATGTTTTGGATTTTTTTTTTTTTTTCATGACATAGTATTTCGTATCGAATCTTGGATCTTTTTTCTTTATCGTTCTTCCCTCCCTTATTTCACCCCTCCCCCCCCAACAACCTTTCCAGAAGAAAATAGAAGGTAAAATCAAAGTAAATAAGGATTCTCCATATCTACCTATCTACCTTTCTGCCTTTCTCCCATACCTTTCTCTACTCCTCTTTCAAACTCCCCCTCTCCCCCCTTATCCCCATCCTCTCCTCTTCTACCCTCGAGGATAAAGATACTCCTCGAGGTAGTAAATGGTCGAGGAGGACTACTTGTGTAAGTCAAGGGTGATCCTCTCCAGTCTTCTTCAACTACTACAGAAACCATCAACGTCTGAGACAAGATGACTTTACAAAGTAGCTTGGAGGTCGGGTGGAACCGCAAAGGAGACCTTTTGACTCTCTTTGGCCTTTTTTTGGCCTTTTTTGGCCTTTTTTTTTACTTTGTTGGACTTTTTTTCGGCCTTTATGACCTTTTGATATACAAGGTCGTCCTATCGTCTCCCCTCCCCACCCCCCCTTCCCCTCTCTCCTTCCCTTTTCCCTTTTATGCGCTGCTTGCCTCTTTGTGTTTGTGTGTTCGTGTGTTTCTAGTTCGGAAAAAAATGAATATGAAAAAAAGAAAAAAAAATCATACTCCTTGTCAAATAATTAAGAATGATGAACAAGAAAAGGATAGAAAGAAGTTTTTTTTCAGTCATATCGAAATGAGTAGATGGATATATAGATAAATTAGAATAACAGTGGTAATGAATGATAGAATAAGATACCGAAAAGAAGAGAAAAAGTATCCTAGCATAAGGATGATGATGTTAAGTCACCGTGAAACTAAATCCACATCCATTCGCCCAAAAGATAACAAACTGATCAATAAAAATAACGCTAATGATGAAAGATAACGAATAACAGACTTTAAGAAATTTTAGGTCCATAATCCACATCCCCCCTCCCCCCCCCAAAAAATGAGATAAATGAGTAAACGAATAAGGAAAACAAATCGTACCGAAAGTAATGATGATGTTAGACCAACTTGAGATATATGAGAGTACGCTTCAAACTCCCATCTCTCTCTCGAGCACGCGCGGAGATTGGCCTATTTGTCATCACTGTCGTTTCAGCCTCCCAGCGAGATGGAGATTAAGCTTAAATTCTCTATCTCGAAGACTTTCCTATGCTGGTGAAACTTTTTTTTTGGGGGCGGGGTGGGGGAGGGGTTGGGGTCTTTTTTGTATTATTTGATTTATTGATTGATTTATTGACTTCATTCAAGTGGTTATTCATTTACTCGGCCGTTTATTTGCTTATTCGTGCTTCTCTCTCTCTCTCTCTCTCTCTCTCTCTCTCTCTCTCTCTCTCTCTCTCTCTCCCTCTCTCTCTCTCTCTCTCTCTTTCTCCCTCTCTCTCTCACTCTCTCTCTTTCGCAGATTACTTTCTACTACGGCCTTTTTCTCTGTCGCTCCCAGAGATGACTTTGCACTAATTCCCTTTCCTCTTTCCCTCTTTCAGGAAGCAGTCTGGGCGAGGTGCGGCTGACCAGTTCCCCCCTCCTCCACACCGTGTCGTCGGCGCCCCCGTCAGATCAGCCTTCCCCCGAGGACGACCCCTTCCCGAGGCTCAGCCCGGCCCCTCCAGACCCCCCGGGTGCTGGGGGAGGGGGGCAGGGGGGCGCCGTGCAGGAAGGGGGGAGAGAGAAGGCGTCCAGATTGGCGGAATCAGCGAGAGAGGAGAGACGCCGCGGCACGACGAGAGCGAGCGAGGGCCGAGAGGGGGACGTCGAAGGCGCTGCAGGAAGCCCGAAGCCTCCCAGCGTGGCGACAGAAACACATGAGCGGAGAAGATTCTCTTCGCTGCCAGCTCTTAACACACAAGTTGCTCACGGGTCTCTGGGTGAGGAAGCCGCCCACACCTCCACTCCCTCCGTCGCTATGCCCGCGACGTCCAGCGTCTCGCCCATTACTCTGCGGCCAACCCTTACGCCCGCGGTTTCGAGTAGAAGCAGCAACACACAGATGCCCACGACGATAGGCCTCGGTCCTGCAAGCGGCAAGGGCGCCTCGACCGCCACGTCGCCACTCTCGACGCCCTCTACGACGTTCACGACCACCGCGACCTCCACGACTTCCATGACCTCTCCGAACTCTACGACCTCCATGACCTCTCCGACCTCCCCGGCCTCCTCACCCCCCACGACCTCTCGAACCGAGAGACTGGACGCGACGCCTGGCGAAGAGAGCCTCCTTGAGGGCCAACTTCGGACCCTCGCCACGCCCCCGACGCCGGAGAGCTTACCGCGCCAGAATCTCGACGCCCCGGGCCGGCCGACCCGTCCGAGCAGAACCGAACGCCCGCTGCCTTCTCCGACGTCGACGGAAGGTCACACACCAGGACGAAGTGACGAAGACAAGGGCTTCCCCATGACTCCGTCGCCGCACCCTGCAGCGGCGGTCAGACTGACGAAGGGAGTTAGGTCCTTTATCAGCCCGCAGCTGGCGAGGATCTGGGGCGCGGGCGAGGACGAGGACGAGTGGAAAAAGGCGAACCACGAGCCGTCACGCGCGAGGGCGAACGCTCCACCCTGGATGAAGATCAGAAGGAGGCGTAGGAGATACCCTGGCGACGGCGGCGATGAAGGGAATGGTAGCAGCGACGGGGCTCTGTCAGCCTCGACCCCCCCGCCAACAGCGACCACTCCAGAAAATCGGAAATCAGTCAGCAAAGCGGAGCATTTCGCAAATGACTCTAATTCCTCTCTTCCGACTCTCCGAAGAGAAGGAGGAGGAGGAAGAGAGGGAGGGGAGGAGAGAGGAGGCCACCCCAGCCAGCCCCCGGCTCACACGCCCGACAGATCAAAGTCCACAGCCTCCCAGACCGAGCTTAGAACCAAACTCGGTGCACAGGAGAAGGATGTGATGGGAGAAGCGAAAGGAAGAAGAAACGGCGGGGAAGGCAACACGGCAATCCCGGGAAAATACGGCGGGCCGAGTGAGTCGTTTCCGGTTGAAATGAGCGTCGCGGACCGATATGAAGCCGGGCGTGAGGGCCGGAGGACACCCATTGACTTTAAGGTTACGAAAACAGGTGATTTCGGCGGGTTCAGCGTGACGAAAACGGAGGAAGTGGACCCAATAAACGGATTCAGTGTAACCAGAACGGAGGTGGACCCGGCGAGAGGGAGAGTCGTTGTTACTAAAGCGGGCGAGGGCCAGCGAAGCAGCTCCGGCGGCTCGAAAACGACCTCGGGGAGACAGGGGCTTTCGCGTCGCGTGAACCCGCAGGACAAGTTATCTCCCGAAGCAAAAGCGTCGACATCAAAGGCCGAGGAACCGTCGCCCCGCTTTCGCCAACGCGACCCGCAGCCCGAAACCTCCGCAAGTAAAAGAGAGCGAGGGAAAATGGAGGATAAAGGAGGTGGGAACCATGCAGGAGGAGACAAAACGCCGGGAAGAAAAGAAAACCCAGACGGGAAAGAAGAGACGCCAGACAAGACACGAGTCCCGCAGGACGACTTAGAGAGTAAATTGTCCCGTCAGGTGGGGAGTGCGACAGTCAAGCCTTCAACAGCAGAACGCAGTAGAAGTAAAACGCAGACAGACCCAAAAACACAACAAAAGACGTCTGACAGCAGTGACGTCACTCTACGTAATTCAGCCATGACTCCTTTATCCTCAACAAACGGCCCCCTTCCCCCTCCCACCCTCAGAATTCACAGCAGAAGCAGCACCCTCTATCCCGGAGCGAATAAAACCAAACACACACAACAGGTGAACGCTGAAGCAGAGGAGAAAGTGGACGTCGACGCAAGCATTTTTGACTTGCCCGTCGACGAGGCTGGTCCCGAGAGCAGACTGCATTACCAAAGAGAAATGTCTGACCGACGGAGGCCTTCGACGGCCGCCCCGACGAGGGTCTTCCCGGTTGAGCTTCTTGACGAAGTCGAGGAGCAAAACTCCCTGCCAGAGGAGGAGGAGAGGAGGAGAGAGAAGAACTTGCCGAAGTCCACCACCCTCTCGAGTGTGTTCAGTGAGGAGTTGATTCCTCCTTTGCCGAATCAGTGGGACGACGACTGGAGAAACGCTGGGTCCTCTCGAAGCGACACGGAAACCGAGAGACAGAGCGACATCGACGACGTCCCGCCCTACGAGAGCGGAGATCACCAGCCGCCCGACATTCAGAAGGAGAAACAGAGAACGACCAAATATCAGGAGTCTTCGAAGGCTTCGGGCGGCGTGACCAGTGACCGGAGGCGAGCAGAAGTGCGGCCCGCCCTCGGGAAAGCGGACCTGAGGGCGTCCTCGTGGCCAGGGCCAGGCGAACGCGTGGAGTTCGTGACTGTGGTTCCAGGTGGCCATTGGGACGTTTGGGGAGGACCAACCCTGTGGGATTCCCTCACTCCCCACTCCAATAACTCCCATACGAACCCTCAGGTGTATTCGGTGTATTGGGGGGACACGGGAGGCCCAGGGTCCCCGCCGGGATGGCCCGAAGGCGTGTGGGTGATTCGGGGAGGGTCCCTCCTCGCAATCATGGCGCTTGTGGTGACCATTTCCGTGCAGGTGGCCCGGGACGGCCCCGCCCACCGCGCCGTGCCCACGGCCGCCGATGCCCTCGCCCGCGCCCACCACAGCCAGCACGCCACGCTCGCGACCAACCTCGCAACGTCCCTCGCCTCCGCCCACGTCCTCCTCATCTTCGGGATCCAGGTAAGGAAACTTCCTGCGTGTGCTTCGCAGTTCCTCTAAATTGCGACAAAGGAAAAGACAGAAAAAAATGTATTTATACATACATATAACAATACATATACATAAAATAGATCTATATATATGTATGTATGTGTGTGTGTGTGTCTGTGAGTGTGTGTGTATATATATATATATATATATATATATATATATATATGTGTGTGTGTGTGTGTGTGTGTGTGTGTGTGTGTGTGTGTGTTTGTATATATATATATATATATATATATATATATATATATATATATATATATATATATATATATATATATATATATATATATATATATATGTATATATATATATATATATATATATATATATATATATATATATATATATATATATATATATATATATGACACAAACACAAACACAGTAACGTGAACACACAAATGAAAGGAAAACTGCCACAGTGAGAAACGAAATTGAAATGTAACGTTTCGAACTCTTCACGAGTTCCTCTTCAGACAACTGAAAAAACAAAAGTGGATCACACTTTTGGTTTTTCAGTTGTCTGAAGAGGAACTCGTGAAGAGTTCGAAACGTTACATTTCAATTTCGTTTCTCACTGTGGCAGTTTTCCTTTCATATATATATATATATATATATATATATATATATATATATATATATATATATATATATATATATGTATATATATATATATATATATATATATATATATATATATATATATATATATATATATATACATATATATATATATATATATATATATATATATATATATATATATATATATATATATATATATATATATATACATATATATATATATATATATATATATATATATATATATATATATATATATATATATAAGAATGAAGAAAACACTCTACCGTGTTGATACTATGGTAGAAAAACCCACAATAAATCTAGTTTTTACATTGTGGGTTTTTCTACCATATATATATATACATATATATATATATAAATATATATATATATATATATATATATATATATATATATATATATATATATATATATATATATGTATGTATATATATATATATATATATATATATATATATATATATATATATATATATATATATATATACACATATATATACATATACACATATATATACATACATACATATATAATGTGAGTGTGTATATATATATATACACAAATATGAATAGTAGATAGATAGAGAAAACACACATACACGCATACATACATATTATATGTATATATATATATATATATATATATATATATATATATATATATATATATATATATATATATATATATATATATATATGTATATATATATATATATATA